ATGATATTGTACCGTTTGAAATTTATTATATACCGGTATTTTTGCAATACCGGTATACCGCGCATTCCTATTCTGTAGTGCTGGACCCTTTAATAAAGATCAAATGACTGAGTTCAGCTGTGAAAATAAAAAACCAACCTGTTTGTTCCTCCATTTCTTCTTTTTTCACACTGAATACTTCTTCAATTTTCATGTCTTCACTCTCCTCTTTAATAAACTCCATGTCTTCACTCTCCTCTTTAATAGCCGCCATCTTTAATATAGTGTCTCCTGGATCTCAGTTGCTTCACCAGTTTTTCTGTGTTTGTCCTGTTTAAGATGAGAATATTTAACAAAAAGAATTATAAATCCTCACTAAGCATTCCAATCAGCTCTTTAGTTAATAGTCAGTAGTACTTAAATTATCTGATTAGACAAAAAAAAAAAAACACTCAAAACGAAGACTACAATTTCTAGGACTAAAAAAGTCATTTAAGCCACATAATATTTAGTTATGCTCAACATTAGATATTTAAAGGGACACTCCACCCATTTGCATTAAGCTTTCCATTGTTAGAAACCCAGTCATACTACTGAATGGTCGTGCAACAGTCTCTCATTTTCCAGAGACGAGCGAAATCTGCTATTTACCTTTTTCAGTTCCTCCTACAATGACGCAAAAATCGTCATTTTATATCATTGTACTAGGAGGAAGTGTAAGAAAGGGGGATTTTTGTAAAGACTACAAGCACTAGATCCCACCCTTTCAAACCCACCCATAGGGGGTTGGACCTAATGTGCTAACAGACCAATCACAGATCAGTGCCAGTGCGTTTGATTTCACCGGCAGAAACTTTTTGAAAATATGGATGAAGGTAGTGAATACTCAGATGGATGCAAGTGCATTCTGGGAGTTGTTGTCTTTCATCCACATAAACCAAAAATACATTTTCTGGCTTTTCTCAGTCTAGAGTGCTCCAAATTCAAAAATAATTCCACATTTATTCTACATAAATTACCCATTTTAAATACATTCATCTTTCCAGAGGTGAAGTGACCCTTTAAAGGGTTAGTTCACCCAAAAATGAAAATTAAGTCATTAATTACTCACCCCCATGCTGTACCAACCCCGTAAGACCTTTGTTCGTCTTCGGAACACAAATGAAGATATTTTTTATTAAATTTGAGAGCTGTATAACTACCACATTGGCTCCTAAGGGACTGCCTCTTGACGGCCCAAAAAGTCAATGAAGAAAATGTTTAAATATCCCAAGTGACTACCGTGGCTCAACTATATGTTTATCAAGCGACGCGAATACTTTTTGTGCGAAAAAACAAACAAAAATAATGAGTTTATTCGACTATTCCTTTTCTTCCTTGTAGGCCAGAAACGAGACTTCCTTAGATTTCCACGACGCATGCGCGAGATTTGCGATCTGCTTACACTACTTCAGTTCAGTTCTCGCGTTTCTGGCCTACAAGGAAGAAAAGAAATAGTCGAATAAACTCATTATTTTTGTTTGTTTTTTCGCACAAAAAGTATTCGCGTCGCTTGATAAACATATAGTTGAGCCACGGTAGTCACTTGGGATATTTAAACATTTTCTTCATTGACTTTTTGGGCCGTCAAGAGGCAGTCCCTTAGGAGCCAATGTGGTAGTTATACAGCTCTCAAATTTAATCAAAAATATCTTCATTTGTGTTCCGAAGACGAACGAAGGTCTTACGGGGTTGGTACAGCATGGGGGTGAGTAATTAATGACTTAATTTTCATTTTTGGGTGAACTAACCCTTTAAAGATGTGTGGATTATATTTAATAAATAAGATTTGCAGTTGGTTTGTTAAAGGGATCATGATGCTATTTATAAAGTTTATTATTTGGTGTAACAGAATGTTACCAGTTTTTAATGTTCAAAAACCACATTTCACATTCTGTACATTATCGTCTATGCTCCATCTGTCTAAAACGCGCTGAATTCTACAAAGCCTCTCCTTCCAAAATGGGTAGTGTGTTCTGGTTGGCCAGCTGACCCAGTGCGTTGTGATTGGCCGAACTCCTCAGGCGGGTTTGGAATGTTATGCTCCTTACCCTAATCGCAAGCTTCAGCTTCCAAAGCAATTATAAAGACAGTTAATTAAGTCATCAGTTTTACCATATAAGTTCCAGACGGAGTCGACCAAGCTGAAGCTGATCGATCAGTTTCTATTCAACAAGTGATAAACAGGGAACAGAGGATACTATGTTTGTACACACATAAATCCATCTCTGCACTTTTAATAAAAAAAAAAAAAAACAACAACCACCAATATGTGTTACTACTGCAAAAAAGAAATAATAAAACATACTTAGGATACATAATCGGATTCAGAAGCGCCAGATTGCCCTAGCAAAATTGGAATTATCTCTTCATCTTCTTTTCAAATATAGCCTTTGTACACAGCCTGTCTTTTACTCTGCCAGTTTCAGAAAAATACGCTCCACACACACACAAACATTTAGGCTTGCACTGTTCTGGAACAGTGTTGTAAATAAATCTTATTTACTGACACCTAATTGTCCCAATAAAGTGGTGCATTGGCTTTCGCATAGAAACTCACATGGTCTCCACGACACTGTCATGACTCTTCCAAGCTTCATAATGGCAGTGAATAGCTGTATGACTTTGTAAATCCATTAAAGCGCATATTCATGATAAAAGTACACCACGCGTCTCTATGGGTTAATAAAGGCTTTCTTTTTTTGTGTAAGAGTTAATAATGGGCTAATTTAACTTTTGGTGAACTATCCCCTTTAAGAGGCCCATCTATCTCTGTTTTCCATGTTCACTGAGTTGAGTAAATATATAGGCCATAATCTGTTTTTTTTGTTTGTTTGTTTGTTTGTTTTTTTTAAATGGCGGGTGCTGATGTTTCATGTTCCTAGTTCATGAAAAGGTTCCTCCAATGCGAAACCCCTTACCACCTGGACTATTTAAAAAGAAAAACTGAACATTAGTTCACAAATAATATATATCGTTTAAATTGTTGCTGCCTTTAGTACTAACTTCGGAATTGTTTAAATGTGCAAAAAAAAAAAAACTAACTTGAAATGTATACTTGATTTTAATTAATAATCGAACATTTATTGCAAAAATAAATAAATAAATAAATAAAATAAATGTTTTTTGGTTTCTCGTTTATTTAACCAGGAAAATTAAGTGTGTAATATAGTGGATGTAAAGTATTTGATATAGGCTAACTTACAGTATAAAAATCTGACTTTGCTTTCTCATTTTAAAACACCACCACTGGTTTAAACATATACGTTTTGATTGTATTCTAGTTACACATAGAAATTACATTATATGCACATTATGTATGCTATATTAATTTTAAAAAATTGAAAGTAAAGTAAATTACAATATTTGTGTTATATCTGCGCGACCGCGTGCATTTCATTTTTAACGGATAGGCCCTATGGAGTAGTGAACAACACTGCACAGGGAACTCACATTTTAGTTCACGTTCAGTTTTGAGAAGCCCAGTTTCTGATCCTTGCTTGTTAGTGGCCGAAATTGCTTTTACTAAAAACTGATTCACGATATAGGGAACAGAACCAAACGCAACTTTTTGTGAATGCGCTTTAACGTTCATAAATGAAAGCATCACAAGGTTATAGTAAACTAGAAGTAATTCACTTTACATTCCTTGTAGAAACTATGCGATTGATTGAACTATTTGTATGGATGTAAACATCTTAAATGCTTAAAAATACAAACCTCACAACAGATGCGTGACCTCGGCGCCTCCTAATGACGTCAAATCGCCAGACCAAAATAAAAGTCCATCACAGACTAATCGATGTAGAAACAAAATATGCAAAACGCATATCTTATATAAATATATATGTATATATTAATCTTCTGCTCACCAAGGCTGCATTTATTTTATCCAAAATAATCCAAAAACAATAATCTTGTGATTTTTTTTTACCATTTAAAACAAATTTTTTCTATTTGAATATATTATAAAATGCAGTTTATTTCTCTGTTAGTAAAGCTGAATTTTCAGCATCATCAATTCAGTCTTCAGTGTCACATGATCCTTCAAAAACAATTCTGATATACTGATTTGCGGCTTAAAGGAGTAGTTCACTTTTGAATTTTTTTTTGCTGTTATCCACAAGTTTCCTACGCCCCATGAGGCCTTGCGTCAAAATTGGGTGTGTCTTTCGGTTCGAAGTAAACAAAGCGCGACTTGACATGCTTGACACTCGTTCATTCAGCAGTTGACAGTCATTCAAGTTATAGCGATCCAAACTAGCTAACGATGTGGGAACACAAGCTCAACGAAATTAAAAAGGGTGAAATTACAATACCTTAACATTATTAATAATCAATACTCATCAAGGCATGGTGACAGACAGTTGTGTGATCTGACAAACAATTAAAATAAAAAAAATACACACTTAGTCATTGTGCTTTGGAGTTTATTCAAAATTATAAATGAATGTGCGATTTGAATACATTAACTGGCACATTTGGTATTCTGTCAACTCAGGCTTTGATCGTGAGTTTAGGTAACATCAGTAGCGAACAGCCAATCACATGCTGATAGAGTTTATAGAATATTAAGAATTTAAACAAATGTACACAGGAAGATTCGTCGTCTTTTGGGAGGTGATGGAAACTACAGCCGTTGGCAGGATCACTCTGATTTAGTTTTCGGCTTATGTTCAAAACAATCACGTTTAAGCCACTGAATTAGTTTAGTCCGGTACAACCGCGAACAGCACATGTTGTCCCTGAGCTCCGTAACGACATCTCTCATAAAGATTTGCGTCTTTAAATAGTAAAATAATTCTCAGAAAAACAGCTAGCCTCTTCGCTAACTAACACAGAAAATACCATTGGAATGCTACTTCCGCCCACCTCACCGGAAGTTTCACCCACTTTATTTTTTACAGGAGCGCCCCTCGGAAACTTGTGGATAGTACAAAATATTTAGTAATATATATATATATTTATATACATATATATAAGAAAAATATTTAGTACAGTATATTTGAAATACAATAAATTTAAACTTCCATAATGGTTTCATACTATAGGTTTTTTTAAGTGCTTTCACCTCATCAATAATCTGCTGGGTGTCTTATTTAAAACAAGACCAAACTTAGGTTAAACTTAGGTCGTAGGTCCAAAGCATTCTTGAATTACAACCATTCAGGTTCGGACAGTGTTTTTTCACGTCCATTCTCAAAAAGGGGTGTGTCAGTTAAGGTGTTAAAAAACCAATATATTACATTTACATTTAATAATTTAACAGATGCTAAAATCCAAAGCGACTAACAAATGAGAGCAATAGAAGCAATCAAAGCAACAATATCGCAACAATATGCAAGTCCTCTGACTAGTCCCAATTAGTTAGTCTAGCAGAAAACACATAGCAAAGTTATTTTTGTTAAAGAACAGATTTATAGAATAGTAAGTGTCGGTTGGTATAGGTCATGTGTTGACAAAAAATTAACCTCATCTTCATTACACAAAACTAAAAAAAAGAGACTAACAAATTTTTACTGATTCATCATGCAGCTCAAAGCATTATGGGTAGACTTTCTCAACAATATGTTCCGATTCATCAACACAGTTTCACTGATGATCCAACAAAAGCATAAAACCCAGGATAGAGTGTGTGAGTGAATGTGGTCTGGACTGTGTGTATGAGGCTCATTGTGTCAGAGACGCTGTAGAAGGACAGAGTTCCTGCACTGTGATCCACATACACTCCTATTCTCCTGCTGATTGACTCTACAGGCAGTTTAGTCCGTGTGTTATTGTGAATGAATAAGCTCTTGGAGGGAGAGCAGAACAAACTCCAGGACTGATCATTTGATCCAAACCAACACTCATAACCCTTTCTACTAATGCTCTTATATGACACTGATATATCCACACCAAACATCCCACTCCACTCAATCTCCCAGTAACAGCGTCCACACACACTCTCACTACACAACACCTGCTGATTATACGCATCAAATCTGTCTGGATGATCAGGATACGGCTGCTCTGTGAGAGTACCAGTAATCACTCTGTTCCTCTCAGACAGACGGAGGAGTTTATTCACTGTGTTCAGATCCAGAGTGAACTGATGGGAATCTGATGGAGAGAAAATACATAAGAATCAGGAATTATTAATCTGTTATAGCTTATTATAGCTGAACTAATGGTTTCTGTTTAGTGTATGAACTGGTAAGTCTATGAACTGGCTGGGTCGTCAGCATTAACAAGAATGTCGCTGTTGGTGTTCTTCTTGTCTAGTACTAACAGTTGTCACAGTCATACAGGTACATATTATTAGGGTGGGTTCACACTTGGCATGTTTGGTTCGATTAAAATGAATCCTGGTGTGGTTTCTCTATTAGTGCTGTTCATTTGAAAGTGTGAATGCTGCCATCCAATCCCTGGTGCTCACCAAACAAGTGGACCAAGACCCATCTTTTCAGTGGTCTCAGTCTGCTTGTTTGGTGCATCTTGTTACATCGTACCATTTTTGGGCCATTTGAGCCGCGTTTCCACCGCAATTACCAGGAACTATTTGTCCCAGGAACTTTTTTTGCCCCAGACCGCTTGCTTACTGCTTTTACAGTAAACTTACTGCTTTTACCGTTTACGGGGCGGGAAGATTATGTGGTGACGTTGAACTGCGTGCGATTGCTCCTCCCAGTTGCGCATTTGTTTTGAGTTTTGAGTGCGTTTTGAGTTTTGTATGGAGGAGACTCAATCTGTGCTGCGATTAGTTTACTAACGAGATAATTAACAAAACTTTAGAAAACAGACAAGCACCCAAAGCGTATTCAGAAAGCTTGTAATGCTAGATATAAAAGTAGACGTTTGTTAACAGCGGACATTGACCGTGAGATGGATGGGACAAACGCGCACCATCGGGCAGAAAGAACAAGTGGTAAGAACCAATCAGTATGTTTAGCGCACAAGTCCCACTCCGAAAGTTCCCGAACTCTGAAAAAGTACTACCTCGGCATCAGGGACTTTCTGGGGGGGGGGGATTTTTACCCGGAACTTCATTGAGACCCTGATTCCTGTGGTGTAAACACACCGAGTACCACCCCAAAGTTCCTAGAGAATGTTCCTGGAAACGCAGCTTTAGATGTCTAATGGTGTAACTCTGTTTAACCAGTCCCTGGTGCAGTTCGACTGAAATATGAATGCAACACAGACCAAAGACATCTAAAGAACCTAAAAATAAGACATGGGGCCCTATTTTAACGATCTGAAACGCAAGTATCAAGCATGAAGGCGCTGTTGCTATTTTACCGGCGAGATAAATGACTCTTGCACTCGACGCAAGTTTAAAAGGGGTTGGTCTGAAATAGCTTCATTATTCATAGGTGGTTTGGACGTAACGCGAAATAAACCAGAGTGCCATCCAATATACCCTTTAAAAGCAGGTGCGCATGTTGCATGGCGGATTGTTATTATTATGGCGGCTTTACCAGGCACGCGGTTCACAGCCGAGGAGACGAACGTTCTTGTCAGGGCAGTAAAAGACAGAGATGTGACGTTGTATGGGGATTTTTGTTTCCTGGTTCTTGAAGGACAAACTAATTTGTCAGATGTCCTTATACATGTGTCTTATTGGGCAAACAGGTCTGAATCGTCATTACTTCAATTAGCCTGAAAAATTTGGGTAAATATGTAAGCTAGATTTAGGCCTACATTTTTTTTTATGGATTTTTTATTTTTTAGGCCCACATCTTCATGGACACCACAATGATTTCCCTCATGTGTTAATATTTTTCCTTGTTATAATGTATGATTTGCAAAAATAAAAACTGCTGCATCTGTGTTGATGACAGAATCAAAGTGTATGTGTGTTGTGCACCAGCTACATTATGGCCAAGCATGCGCACTTAAAATAGCATTATGAACACCGCGCAACGCGCCACTGACTTTAGACCAGGTTTTTTTTCTTTTCAGTGGCGCAATTGTTTTCTGGAACTGCAAAATAGCACTAGGGAATGTTTGTGCCGAAACACGCCTCCTTTTTACGCCGACCCACCCAGGGAGCGCAAGTTCATTTCCTAGTTTACCGACATGCGTCTGTGCAGGGAAAGCCTGCTTTACGCGGGTGCAAAATAAGAATTATACATGCGTCATGGTACAAAGTCATTTGCGCCGGGTGCAAGATAGGGCCCAGGATTTCTCAAGATGCGATCCTAAAAAGGATAGAATGCTCAAGCATACCTGTTTTTTCTCATCCTAGTCGCGATGTTGCCCATCACAGTTCAGTACAGGTATCAGAACCAAATCTTCTCACAGCAGACCTTCGTTGAATGTGATGATTTTATAAGCTCTTCACAAGTTCTAATTTGAACAAAATACCATCATATATAGCTACGCACTAGAGGTCTTCACAGTGCACCCAAGACCCGTTGGCCCGGGACCCGTACGGGTTCGGATCTATATTTTAAATGATCAGCCGGGTCCGGGTCGGGTCCGAAACTATTACTTCGGGTCCCGGGTCTGTTTAACATTGTGTGTAATACCCATGCGATCGGAGTGCAATCTCAAGTGCGTGTCATGTTTCTATGGCAACCAGAGCAGAGCTTCCACCAAACCGCGCTTTACTTTTCTTCCAATGTTTATAAAAATATAAATAAACTTTATACAAATAAATTTTGATGGTCAGATTCAGACTCAATGAAGAGATATGATCAAGCTGAACAAGCAAAAAGCAATCGTTATTATAGTTCAAAAGCCAAACAGTTAAAGTTATTATGCGAGACAGTTAACTCGAGTCATGTGCATCCATCACCGTGACATCAAGTGGACTTTTAAAGCTGAAATAATGAGTGGATTAAGCTTGGAATAACGAGAGAAATAACATGGATGGAACTTTCTTGTCGGTGGATTGTAATGCATCACAGTCAGTCAGGTAACGTTACAAGGAAGTGAGATGACGACTACTAAAATTAGGTAAGACAAAACGTTTTATTTTTTCGCAAAGTTCTCGTGTGAAATAATATGTGACAATCGGGTCCAGTCGGATTTGTGTCTTCCTGTCGGGTTCGGGTCCAGTTTTCAAATAATAGACGGGTCCAGGTCGGGTCCGGGCAGTACATTTATGGCATTTCTCGGGTCTGCACAGGTCCGGCTCCAACTTTTGAAATGAACGGCGGGTCCGGGTCGGTTCGGTGTAGCACATTACGGGCCTCTTCCGGTTCAGGCATGAATTTTTGGACCCGTGAAGACCTCTACTACGCACATAAAACTATAAAACTAGGGCATTGGAGTCCAGCACTCAGCATTGTTTTGGATGTTCTGTAAGTTCCGTCACAAAATAAATGTAATAAAAGCCGACCAAACGGGTTGTGATGCCTTTAGGTTCAGTGTTAAAATGTCAATGTGAACACTAAGTGGACCAGGACTGAATGTTTTTTTGGACTAAATGAACCAAGTGAACCTTAGATTACCTGTGTAGATGGCTTATCTTCTGTCAAGAGTTGTGCTCTTGTGATTTGCTAGATATAAAATAAGTTGCATAACTTGTCCTAGGTTATAATGGCTTGAAACATGCTATGCTGACCCACTTTCATTTATGAGGTCCGTGCTGTGCCCTTTTTATAAGCACGACAACCCATCATCATTTGGCTTGCTCAAACGCCATTGGCCAGTGTGTTGCTTTGGTAACTTGTTCCCTTATCTCAGGCTCAGGGAAACAAAACTACATGAGTAACAGGTGAAGTTTTTGTATTCTTAATTGCTTACATTGTAGGAAGTCCTTTCTGGTCCTGGGATCCATGTTGCTGAATATGACTGTGGAAATAAACAGATATGAATATTGCAACTGTTATGTCAAAAGAAAATTAATATACACTTTATTTCAATAGTCCACTTTAAACATTCTACTAACTAAAAGTAACTGCTACAACAAAGAAAATACGTGTCAACTAACTCATTAATTTACAACTACATGTAAACTAGAATATTAGTAGACTTTTAAGTTGAGGTTAGTAGAATAAATTGATGTACTCACAAAGTTACTAAGTAGAATGTCTGTTCAAGATAAATTGTTAGCAGATTTTAGGCAGACAATCTACTAATACTCTAATGACTGGTAGTTGACATAGTAACAAAGTTTCTTATAGTCAGTAGAAAGACTAAAGTGTGCTATTGAAAACGATCCCTGCATTCAATCCTACCCCAGATAGCACACCATAGTTGGCCCAGATGAGGCCCATATATGTATGCTATTGCCAGCCACGCTCAGGTTGAATCATCGCCGTCCTTCCATTATGTGGGCCACAACTGGGGCCAGATGTCATTTACTATCTGGGAAGACATTTCTAATATGATCTTCTACATGATAACAGATAGAGTACTCATTTCTGAGAGATGAAGCTGTCAGAGATCTTTTTTTAGCTCTGTTTCTCACTGAGTCTCCAGTCAAGCAGGATCTCTTGCTCAAGTCCACAATCCTGTTTTTCTAGATCTGTTACCTGTAGGGAATGGATGTGATCCTGTGTGTGTGAAAGCTGCTCCAGCTCAGTGTCTCTCCTCCTCAGATCACTGATCTCCTGCTCCAGTCGCCCTTCAGTTCGACTCACTGCAGTCTTTTCCTGATCTCTGATCCGCTGTGTTGAATCAACTCAGTGAAGATCCTCACTCTGTCCTCCACTGCTGTCTGTGCAGCACGCTGTTAGGACACAAATCACAATCAACTTTTTACTACATTTCTCACCACTCATGAGCAACTAAACCATCATGTGGTCTGCTGAATCCAGTTAAAGTAGGGTGAGGTAGATTAAAGGTAACTTATTTGGACTGTCAACGAATGCCTGTAGGTTCAAACTCAATCAGTTGATCGACAAATGATCAGTTGCCACCGCTGTACATTAACATAATAAAAAACATAAGACTTGTTTAAATTAGCAAAGATGTTAGAGCTTCCACACCGACTGTGTTTCTGTTGTGTAACTGAGCTGTGGCTTTTTTTTTTTTTTACTGGGGATTTATCTTTTTTAAACCACAAATCAATAGGTGACTCCATTACTTTATTTTGCTTTAGCCTATTTCACTTTTTCTGTGAAAACTGTTTGCAACGAGGACCAAACTGAGACATGGATGTCTGATGACCT